TATATAATTTTAATAGCGAAATATTTCGAAATTCTTCAATGGATAAGAACCCACTGTAAATGACTAGTTCCATGTGTTCTTCCTTATGGAAATGTAGTTGACAATGAAATTTAAGTTTACTGAAATACACATCAAACTATTCATATTGCATATTTCTAATTTTGGTTGATATAAAGATGAATTGAATTAAATAATACTTGTGCTGTTTGATTTATTAAACATTTGTACATTTTCTTAATTATTAAACTAAAAATAGTATTTAAACATTATAGTAATATCTCGAATCAGTCATTGCAGTTTCATTCAATTTTCTCAAACTATTTCAGTTTATTACATTTAAACTAAATGTGTTGACCCTAAAGCTTTATAAATGTCAAAATAATGTTGTTTTCTTTTATACAAGATTTGCTTTTAAAGTTTAGATAAGAGAAAGTTGAAGATTTTTGAATTGTAAATAGTTGATTGAAAAAAGTGTACTCCGTTTATGCAGTAACATAGTAACTTACTTTCTCACTGAATTTCTCTTACTAATGTGTAATTTGTTAATGCTAAACTATCTGACAGAATGAGAGTAACCTAGTTCAGTCCTATAAACAGACTTTTACTAATGATACTTGTCAAATAACCATTGCTAACCAATATTATTTCTTTTCACTAGGTGTTTTATATTAGCCAGTTGGTATATTACAGTTTTTACTGATAATGAAATCATAGTTGGATAAGTTTTAGTAGAAACTGATTACTTTTAGTGTCTTTCAAGTAAGGATTTGGGTGAAACTGAATGAAAACAACACATAACAAACTTATTGATTGATTGAGTGAAATCAAGTATAGTTTACATGAACACGGAGAGATATTTCAAAATTACGAAGCTACCCAAAGATTCATAAGTTTCAGTGGTTTGTGATGCGAATGATGCTGTGATCCCATAGTTTTTTATGTGTCTTACAAGTTTTATGAATCGGTATTACTTGTCACTGTTTATTAATATTTCACAACACAGAAAGCATGGTGTATTCAGGACACTGTATTATGAAAATATGGACAGTTTGCTTTGATATCAAAACTAATAATCTATGAAGTTCTTTAACTTTTAAATCCACTGAAAACGAGGAAACACTGAACATTTATTCCGGCCTTGTGAAATTTAAACATATCGAAAGTAAAGCATTTACCCTCTGTAAACAATAGATGATTGGGCAATATCGCGAAGTTAAACATGTACACAACTGCATGCTTAGTTATACAAAGATTAAACGTTCGCGGTAAGATCAAAATGCTGAGTTGAGTCACTGGTGGGGTTGTGAATGTCCAACATCAAGAATTTCCATACTAGAACGAAATAGGTTTCATGTGCTTACTGACTTTTGGTAGTTGTTTAAATTAGGTTAATCCATGATTTCAAAAACCTCAGGATGGGAGATTTCCCTGTATACATATCATTTATGGAACACCATAAAATCTGATTATTGTCATGAAAATAAATCGTAATTGGAAAGTTATTAATAATATTTTTGAAGTATATATGCATGCTACTATTTAAAATTGTTCAACTGTTTGAAGGTTTCGTATCACTGCGTTTTCACAATCAATAATAGTAAGGAACCTAAGATCTTCATCTGAAAACTGAGAGATTGTGTCTTAAAAGATTGAATTTAATAAACCTCAATCCAAAATTATTTCTATTGAGATCTAATAGTCTATGAATACAAGTTTATTTCATGAGTTATGAATAAGCACTATGACCTATATTATTTCTAAACAAATAAAACTTCATAAATCAAAATAACCAATGATTTTCATTGAATAAAAATAAAGCGAATTAAGAGAAAAATGTTTCCTTCACTAAAAAGTCATTTATATTAGCCGTACTTTATTATTCAGAAATCTTGGTAAATGAATGAGGTTTACGTTACTGAGGAGGTTCTCTGTGGTTTGACTTGACGAAATATTTGGTTGTTAAAATAAATGGATAGAATGCTAGTTTATGGATGAACGCAAAACGTGGTCGAGTGATGGATGTTTGTAAGAATACATTATCGGCTCAGGCTTCTGAGTGATTTCTAATCAATAGTTAGATTACTAGCCAAATGAATAGTTTTCATGAAATAGAATAACCTACTTATACACAAAATATGAACATTAAGATTTGGCGACAGTATAAATGAACCAACGATGATAAAAGTGGTAAATCTAGAACTTCGACAAGAAATTCACTTTATCCATATGGCTAAATAGTATGTCGGCTTAGTAAATGATGTCATTTCATGACGAAAATCCAAATTGTAATTCTTAATCTCGACTACTAACTGCTAATCTTAAATTTAATTATCCATACCAATTGATAAACCCCTTTTGACCATAGTAATTAGATGAATATTGTCCAGGTCACTTTAACCCTGTTCATAAGTCGTCCATAAATGGTAATCGCATTCAAGTTTTAGTCTACAAAGTCTTTGGTTGTAAATATGATTTTATTAATTCTAGCATGTATATTGCAGTGATATATATTGTGACTTAAATGAATGAATATTTATTGTTGCCATACGTTTGCACTATTCGTGTGATAAGAATTACTGATTTAAAAATAAATCCTATCATTTCATTCCTATTCTATTCTCGTTTTATTTAAATCATTATATTTTCTCAAAAACTCATCTTTTCAAGGAATTTATTAGAATTTGGTTGATCGACATTGATGAATTGTAATAATTTGAAAAGATATTTAATTACTAGGCAGAGCTCTTGATACAGTTGGATAGTCTTGTTCGATTCACAATCATTCTTCTTCATTTTTACTAGACTAACGTCTAACCAAGAGGTGTTGCAGCATAAGATTACTAGGTGGCAGAAAACTATGCAGATGACCCTGAACAAGTTAAGACAATCGTCAGATGGCGTTCACTGAAAGAACAGTTTATCATAGAGAAGTATGATATTTACATATGATTATAATGATAAGTAAGTTATTTAACATAATAGATCAAATAAAGGATAAATTAAGGGGTTAACTTGGAGTGATAGGAGTTATTCTTCAGGATTGAAGAATATTTTTCAAACGTAATAATAAATACTCATAACTATATTTATTTAATTTCAACATTTTATTCACATTTATTTAGTATTGAAGAAGTCAGAGATCATGTTGAAATTTAGCATACATCTTATTTCGATTTGCTTATCATTGTTTTTTCCATGAAAATCAAATCACTTTCTCATATTCGATTTCATTAGCACTCTTTAATTTTTCGTTCATTAATTGGAGGTCTCAGTTAATAGATATTATTAGGTTTCATCTAGTCCTTAGTTAATTACACATTTTTAAATCTATCCATAGTCGGATATGGAATTTCGCCCAAGTATCTAAGATCAGCTACCTTTAACCCAGTTAGTTTGGTGGTAATGTTTGCGTGTCCCAGTCCCTTACTTTCTGACATCTCAAATTGTATATTGACTGTTAAGACTAAATGTTGACAATATTTATAATATATTTAGTGTCGATTGAGGCTTTGTTGCTTCCGAAAACTTAATTACTCTTGAAAGTGTTGGTTTGTGAAAAAAACATATTTATTTTGCATTGTGAATAAGCATTTTGTTGATAGCTTATAATCGACATGACCTCTTCCGAAGTATTTAAAAAATTAAGGAACAAAAACCTTTAAATAGTATACGTAACTTTGTGCGTAAATCTGTTATTAATATTGGTTGTAATATCAATAACAATCACTATGCATGGGTTTGAAGAATTGACCTGAACAATATGTCGAAAATTTAGCTTGAAGTAAATCACAGACCATTTAATATTTACCCAAGTGATACTTGACCTGTGAAAACAGTTGAATTAAATGTAGCAGTATAATAGCTAGTCGAATAAAATGTTCTTTATTCATTATGCAAGTGAATCAACTTTTAATTTATAAGATTATTCTGGAACAGGTAAATTCACTCTAAATATTATACAAGCATTAAACACTATAGGTACATTTTCCTTGTACCTACATGACGTATGTAACATCAGTGAACCACAGGTTTAATTGAAGGATACGAACATAAAGTAACTGTCACAAGTTATTTTTCAAATCTTGTGATTAATCTATTTATATGTGCTATGTTAAATTAGCGATAGAATAAATGCAGACACCGGTTGTCAGTTTAAACTTTGTTGGGCTTTATTAGTCAAACTTTAACATATAGTAGTTAGATAAAATGTTCAAAACTATTTTAACTATTAACTAGTAAGTAATAGACTCTAGTTTCCCTTCTTTTACCGTAATTTTGGCTTTCATTGTCAAATACATCTATCTGTCCAATCGAAACCGAATATTGTTCAGCAAACATAAAATATGATCACACAATAAATATAAGTATTCCTGGTAAACATTATTAAATTTTATATTCTTGACAATGATAATGAAATGTAGATTATGACTGATTTTCTTATTTGTTTTATTTCGGAGAATATCACATTCGTCTTTCTCACAAAAGTACAGATTCCAGGTAAACATTTGACTACAAAATCAAATTATCATATCAACGTTTACTAATTCTTACTAATCTGACAAAATTTAACGATAAGTAACAAACTGAAATATGATTCTAATATTATGTCAACCTGGATGAGTTGGTTTATTTACTGTTTCAAATGAAATGTATTCGAAATAGATACTCATATTCGATATATAAGTATTTGTTCTGTGCTGAATCCTTGAAATAAACACGTTTCGACAACAATTCTTTAATATGTTTTTTAAACTAAAAATGAGAAATATTCACCTTTTTATTCAGCGGTCTGTAAGTTGTGTAGTCAATATGAAGTTTGAAAGTTGTAGATTTAAATCCTTGAAAGTGTTTATAACGAATGAGTTACTGAATCAATCTTCCATTTTTCATTGATTCTTCAGTTATTATAAACCATTGACAAAAATTATTCTCGGAACCGTTATGAATAAAGTTATTAACAAGAAAGATAATTCTGTATACTTTCGAAGAAATCCAGCAAATAGGCAACTAAGAAACATGTTTACTTAATGACCAAAACACTCACAACACATTCGTTAAGTATTAGACATTATGAACATTAATACATAAGTACTCAAATTGTTTAATGACAATAAAATGAGAAGCAAAAAATACACTTTAAAAATCAATTCTATTCATCATTGTTTATTTCAAATGAGAAAACAAAAATCGAAACAGACAAAATAAAACAACAATAATGATGCTCAATAACTAATATTCAATTAAAAAAAGAAATAATGACTTTAGAAAAAAATTACATTTATCAATTAAGTTGCTGATTACAAAATTATGGAAATACTTCTTTTGTATTTTTTTAAAAAAATGATATGTGTATTTGAATATTTTTAGTCAGTAGTATATTTTCTTGCAAACAAAAATGTTTATATGTAAAAATGTATTTAATCCATAATTTGAAATTCCCGCTTGTTAATTTGATCAATTCATATTTAAAATAAGTCTATATTTCTTTGACAACATTTACTCTGTTCAATTATGTAAGCTAAAATATTCGAATATATTTATGCATTGCAATATAAAAAGAAAATTGATTATTTATGTTCTTTTTTTTAAAAAATTTTTTATTTTAAACTATCACAATACTTTGTTTATGGATTTAATAATTTAATACAATCTCGTAAACGATCCACTTCAAGATTGATATGATCTAAACTACTTTCCAAACATGTCTAGAATGTTTTTGTTGTTGAAAGAAAAATGACAAAAAAAGAATAGACGAACAGAATATTAACATGATGATTAATAAAACAAAGAAAAAAAGAAAAAATGAAATTTATACATTTTACCAGTTGCTAATAAACATATGATTATTTACAGTCAAATATATTTAAATAACCAAAATGTAAACAAAAATGTGTCTGTTTATCGTCGGCTAAAATACTCAGGTAGATTGTGAATGAATACTGATAATATTCAGAATATTGATCTAATATATCATTAACTTTACTGTGAGATCTGAGACTAGTTATTAATACTGAATGCACCGAGTACCGAAAAATTTAAAATTATTATAATTTTTTTTCGACGAAACTTGTTAATCACCAACAAAGAAATGTTGAAAGTTTTCACATTAAATACATAAATTGGTATAAACATAATTATTTATATAAACTATAGTGGATAGAAACATAGTTTCTTTGCGTGAATACTACTATTAGACACTCAGTAGTTAAAGATAAAAGTGTGCACGGCTAAATGCTAAAAAAACAAAAGTAATACATACGCATGCTTCTTACCTATAGTAATTTTCCGTAGCCGCAGAATTTAGTTTGTTGACTGAATTTGGGAACCTGATTAAAAATTCGTTTTATTGAACGTCTTTTTATATTTTACATAAATTACAATTTTATGGCATAAAAAAGTTCATAGAAATAATCTGATCAGTGGTCTTTTTTATTGTTTACATACTTTGATTTGATAGTAAGTAGTCCAACTTTATCATTGGCTAGACTAGAACTCATTTGCATTCTAACTATTATCGGAAAAATAACTTTCTGATATATTATTCTGATGACGTCTTCTAAACCGCAGAGGTATTTTTGATAGTTTCTTAAATTTATCAGTGATTCACTCTTTTGATATTGAATGTGTTAAAGAACTTGTTTATATTCTATGTCAGTCTGTTTGATTACAAGAATCAGTAATAGTATACCATAATGCTGAGGTAATAAAAATCAATATAGCAAGATTCTAAAATTAAGGCCAGCTTAGCATTCATTTTGAGAACCGCTTCGTTGAAAGTGACTTTATGTTGTAAAAATTACCTGATGTAGAAAGAAGTCGCTACATTCAGAGGAGTTCTGAATTAAACTTAATTCAAACGATTGCTTAATAATAATTCAAAGTTTTATCTCTTTTTTTTCTGTCAAAAAAATTATTTCCTTATTAACATGTGAAATCTTAGTTTCTTTTTCATCGAATAAATACTTGAAACAAAAAACCTACTAACATAGTTTTTAAACCAAGGTAACATAATTTCATATTGTTTCATCAACTATTCCAAACATTTTATAAATTTTGTTACTCTTAACTACAAAATCTTAATTTTAAAGGTTAATGAGAGTCATTCAATAAAATGACTTTTATCATGAGTATCAATTCAAGTATGATACTTTAATATGATTTCAATCATTAATTAAAAGTTTATCAAACCATTTATGTTTGTTATTTATCATTGGTGATGTATAGAAAATTTTAAATTGAGATTCATCAGCATTAGTAACAGATCACAAAATACGTTATACTTATTTTTTGTTTTTATAAACAGGTGACTCTGGAATATTCAACTATGATATTTCATACAAACTATTATTCATTAAATAAAGAATGTTTTTAAACTAAATTGTATTTTCAGAATGAGTTTTGTGGAGATTTCAGTAATTTTTAATAGTTGAAATCATGAGTCACCGTTGGATGCCAGCTCAGTTGTTTAGTGGTTAAGCGATCGCGCGCAAGACTGATAGGTCTTGGGTTCGAATCTCACGATGGGGGGGGGGCAAAATCGTGGATGCGCAGTGCTGAGATGTCCCATACTAGGACGAAACGGCCGTCCAGTCGTACCAGGTTTTCCATGATGGTCTAGTTTTAATTGACTCATGATTTCAACTATTTAAATTGTATTTATTGATGTTAAGCTGTTTAGTTTTAAATTTGAAAAGTGGAAATATATTTGAATTCTTAATAAAATTCCTTATCTTAGAAACCTTAAGATTGATTCGACTTAAATAATTTGAAATTATGCTTAATCATAACTATTAGATAGGAAGTATAATCAATAATACAGGAATCAATGAAGCACAAACATTTATGTAATTAAGTTTCTATGAAATCGATAGTTAATAATTGGATGCAGTACTTAGACGCGATAATATCTGTTGAATAAAACACTACGTACTCTATGATAATGATAGCTAAGAAGAAATGCACAATCGTTATGCACACAAAAAATAGAGTTAATGATTTAGTGAAAAAGATAATGAAGTACTTTAAACTGTCATAATCCAAAAATCCAAGATTTTTGATCTTTGAACTATATAAATCAAAAATTAGGAATGTTAACAGTTCTTCGAACATACTCTAATCTCGAAGTATTGATGTGACATAGTACATACATAAATCGAAATATGAATAAATATGCATCTAATAAGTTGACTTGTTACAGATAATTGATTAAGTGTGTAGAAAACGAAATTGAGATTTCATAAAATATACTAGAAGCTATTTAGATACAAGTATGATGATTGTAGGTGAGACTACATCTAAAATTCAGAATAACGATGTAGCCAAGTAGCGAATGAGATGTAAAAAGACTAGTATTTTGATATTTATTCGAATGAAATTCATATAAAAAGATCAGTGTGCATTAATCAATGAACAAAAATTAAAAATGGTGGATACTAGATAAAAACATTAATCGTCAGTTCATACTGCAACAATATTCTGCATGTCACATAACTGACGTGGTTCTGTGCTTTATTTCTTCTTGATACTTGGATGAGACATTACTTTAATAATCCAATACATAGAAGGTCTAAGTTCAACCCACTAAGAAATAACCGTAGTTTTACTAAGTCTAAACAAATAATTATGAACGTTTCTTCAGATTATGTTTAAAAGTCTGAAGATGCACAACTTAACATGTTTTCATTAATTATCTGTATCTTTATAAAACAAGTAGGAATTGTAATGTCCAGTTAAACTGTCATTACTTCGATTTAATATGTCAATCAGTATGAACGTTACGACGTGCAAATTAGATAACACGACAAATTTTTAATAAGTCACTGAAGTAAAATATACAAAAAGATTATTTAACTATTACATAAATAAATCAACGAGGTTGTCTAATGTCACATCCAGATTATGCGATAACATGTAAGAAGCACTTTTAGTAAAATGAAAAGTTATCGACTGCAAATAAGGTATAATATTCCTATTATGTTTATCCGTTTTTCTATTTATTTCATTACAATACAGTACTAAGTTCATAGCCCACGAGACGTAATTAAATTAGAATACTTTTTAATTTGAAGTTGAGTTTTATTGCAAACAGACATTGGTTAGAAAACTGTATAAAGTCAGGGAGAATAGCATTAAAATTTTGAAACGATCAAAGACAGACCATTACTGAAAACCTAGAAACACTGTACGACTATTTCCTTCTAGCGTGAGACTCCTCAGAAAGTTGTATCTATGGAATTGCAAGTGGGGTTTGAACCTCGCAAGTTCGGTCTTGAGAGCGGATGCTTAACGTCTAGACCACTGAAACGGAACTCAACGGTGTTAATATCTAATGTCAGGTGATCTATGAACTAGCACAATTGTCCAGCATCGTCTTACTCAGATGACTGCCGCATACCTTACGCAATTGAACTGCACTAGTCAAGGCTTCTTAAAGTGAATAGAACAACAACTGTGACGTTCAAAGTGACCTTTATAAGACCGTAGAGAATCAAGTAAACATATATACGTCAAATAAAACACAATGAATTCTTATCCACGAAATGTCATCTGAAACCAATGAGTCAGGGAAAAAAGACCACGATCGTCGATCACCATCAATATTCAATAAGATTTGATAGTCGTCCGGAATTTCCCGACTATACTAATCTCATTTTTCAATATCATTTCATATAATCATCTTTATAAAATGATTGGAAAAATGAGTCATACCTTATTTCACATTTTGAATTATAGAGTATGAATATATATATATATATATATATATATATATATATATATATAAGCACTCACAGATTTTAGTACTAAAGGAAAACCTTCAATAGCAACTAGAAGTAACTCTTAAAAATAAATAGTCTTGATAATTCTGTTTCATCTTATAAGAAGTTATAATTGCAAACTTTTGAGGAGTCCAAAACTAAGATGAAACAATAATCAAATGGTGCACAACGAAAAAATATACTGTAAAACTGAATTGAATCTATACTGGACCGACGTTTTTAGATTCACAATTACCACTTTGAATGCTCAAAAAACTATCTATTAAGTTAGAAAAACGGATTATTGTGAAAAATGAATTATACGAAAATGATTTTTTTAAATTTTTGTATCATGTTTTAATGATCAAATTAAAAACAAACTCTAGTTTTGATTCCCTTTCAAAAAACATTTTATCGAATACAACTCATGTGCATTAGTTTAACACTGATTTCCGGCTTTTAATGACAGTACAAGACTGTTGTACATAGAATTCTTTTGAAGGAAGCTTCTGGTTTACATTAAAAAAATAAAATTTCTACTGTATAGATTTCATAAAGGAAAATATAAAACATGATAGCTTGAATATTGATCATAATATGTTTTCACTAAGTTGAAATTAACAGAACAAGACTAAAAATCATTTATTGTATGTTGGAAAACTATTAGCACAATAACACCAACAACAACTACAACTACTACTAATACTAATAGTATTACTACTGTTAATACAACTACTAATACTATTAATAAATGTAGTTATAATAGCTTCAGCTTTGGCATTTTACTACATTTTACCTTTTTTTTATAAGAACTATTCAATTCCTTGCATGATCGGCTTGAAACCAATTCATCCTTTCATATTCATATTCATATCACCAATCAATTGTTGAAATTCAATTTAATAGTGTAATTGATCATTCAGTTTATGGAAAAATTATGATTTTATCATTAATTATAAGCATTACCATCATCATCATCACCACCACCATCGTGAATGTTAACATTCCCATTTTTCATGATAAATAATAATAAAATATTATTAAAGATAAATCACTTTTTTTCAAAGAAAAAAATTAAACAACAAATACTTAACAGTAATAAAAGAAACTGAAATGTGGGCTTTTTGATTTACATATAAATTACATCATCGTTGATTTCATTGGATTACATTTTGACTAATAAATTATTTAATAATTTCGTTTTCAATGTTCAATAATGATATTATGTTATTACTAATCGATATCATTCATAAGAAGACCCTTCATAATTTATTTTAAACTATGATATTAATGCATATATATATATATATATATATATATATATATATATATATATATATATATATATATAATTTGAATAAGAAACAATATCACTTTTACCGCGAACAAAAATTGCATTTGTCTTGAAATAAGGTAAGGTGAATAAATTAAGGAAAAATACTTAGAAAAGTATATGATACATATGATCATTGTATACAGATACAATCACTTTTCTGTATGCATTTTGCGAGAAATTCATGAAAATAACTACTTATTATATAACTAATAGTATAAATGCACAAAATGATATTTTTTCTATACTTTTTTATGGTTAATTAAAAATAGTGAACTAAGTGAAGAGATCAGGTCATGATAAACTATTTTAGAGGAAATGTAAGAAAAGTTGACAATTTTAATAGTATATATTGTATTAAAAGGTATCTCAATAAACTACCGTAAACTATAGTAGTAATTTATACATGACTGAAGCTTGCTTGACAAAAAATCTTTCATAACATCCTTAACACTCATATTCTGGACTGTTTAGCTTGCAACAATGTGTCTTCACAAAACTGCCCATCTCATCGAATAACGTCAAAAAGGTGTTATATATGCTTGATGTAACTTATTCTTTCTTTTACTATTTCACTTGTTGTTAGCTAACATTACGTTACAATGTGGAAATATAAGCGAGTTTTGGACTGTATTTGTCAAGAGGTGACTGCCTTTTGAGACCTTCCACCAGTGATTTTGCTGAAAATAGAGGAATTATCTTCGATAATTTTAATCATTTTTTAAAAAGTGAATTATCTAATAAACAGATTGGTATTCTTATAAATATCATTTCTTGTTTGATATCTTGCGTTTATTTAACATTCTGATTGTTAAAAGAGGATTCTTACAAATTTTTATCAAAGTTTTGGAGTCATTCATTTTAATTGCAAAGATACATGATACCTAATCTTTTAAGAATAAATCTCATGAAAAAAACTTAACAAATAGCTCAGTTTCATGGATGATACACTTATACACCACAAAATCTCTGATAACTAGATACAACGTTTAAAATGGCATTTTAAATATTCATATCCTATATACTGAAAGGATAGATCAAAAGAATATTCAATCAAGTGTTGAATCAAACAACTTTTCAATGTTCAATAAAATTATATTGTACAGTCGTCAAAAATCAAACTCAAATCTAGTTACACTATTGCATAACTCATTGATTTGAATATAAATTACCACTGATCTAAAAAATAAATTTCAAAACTGAATATCTGTTTATCAATTAAATGTTTACTTATAATATCGTCTAACGTTTATTTTTTAAAGTAAGTATTATTACAGCTACTTCACTACATTTTATAAATATGACCTAACTAACGTTACTTTACAATGATTGAGTAAAACTTAGCGTTCTTTTTTCTGAAAGAATTTCGTTTTTAATTCTATACGTAAACATTCATGAAGGGTATTTGATTTTTATGCAATTTCTACTATTTTTCATAAAAAGAAAAGAAATTTGAACTGAGAAGAACATTATAATTCACTTAATAAATCTAATTATATTCTAACGGATTTCACAGTTATATCATAGGAATCTTCCATTCTTAATACTGAAATGACTAGGAAACGACTGATTCACTCACGAGTAATCTTTTTGCAAAAGCATGTAAAGTTATCATGACGTTTCTATAATTTGTTTCAGTGACTTTTTGATTTAATTGATTAAACTGATCAAAGTAATTTTTTTTATAAATTAAATCTTAATCTCACATTACCTTTTCTGGAATTTTTAAATGATGTGATGAATATGACTGGGGAAAGTAAATTCGTTCATATTCGTTATCCATGCGATTGCCATGACGTAAATAATTCGCATGTTGTATATCTCTTAAACGACGATCTGAATGTGAGTGAATAATGAGAGGTTGTCGATTTACTTGACGATTCAGTTTTACAGTGGAGTAAGGTTTTGTACTTAAATTTTGACAAGATGTATAATAATCTCTTTCCAGTGATTTTAAACGTTTAGAATTATGTAAATGTCCAAAACTGGTACTTGGTCTAGCTGATGATGGTACAGGGTATAAATCGTACGACCTGTTTAGTGCGCATTCATCCAGATAACCAGAGACTGACGCTGGACGATGTCTATTAAATCGAAGGCTGTTAGTACTGAATACAGATGGCAATACAGGCTGATCAAAAACTGGGATAAAAATAATTACGATACATGATTATGTCAAAGGATAGAATTCGAACAATTTTAAACCAAATAAAAATTAATATATGTCATCAGTGTACAGCATACCTTTTCCCTTACTTTCCTATTGTTAGTCAGTTTAGATTTAAGTGTTATCGCTTGTTAAATTATAGAAAATAGCAAAAACAAACAGTCTGACCGATGAGAGTGGATGGACCAATATTATCTGGGAAGCAACTTACAGTTAATAAAATCTCCAATTTTCTACTCACTCGGATATTACTAGTATTTGTACTCAAAGGAACATTATGAAGTTTGCTTTGAGAACTATTTTGTATCCACAATTTATAGACTAAATCATTTTAATTACTTTTTACTAACAATCATACTACTTTTTGAGTAATATAGTAGAATAATCAATTACTGTAAATATTAAATGTTACAGATACATTTACAAAACAGAAAAATGTGATTGTCCATTAGATTCTCAATCCAGTTATAAATAATAAGCTAGAATGGCTCTTGGATTTTTTTTAAGCATATTGCTGAAATTTCTGTTTGTAACCGGACTAATATAAGTCAGTTCTCGCTAATACACCCTCTCCTTTCATTTAGAGTGCCTAAAAACTCCGCAATAATAACTCATAATATATATGGCCAATTTCACAGGTTTCTCAAACTTTCGCGGGAATAATCAATAGAGATAGCCTTTACTTAAATTCTATCCAGCTTCTTAAAGTAGCATAAATGTTGGTTAAATTTCAAGGAGTGCTTTTAGCAAATAAAATTTCATTTGACGTTTTTAAACTTACTTTTCTTATATGAATACTTTTTATGTGAATGACTGGTATGAACTGTTCTTCGTTTTTTTTCAGTTGATGGTGATCGCCCAACAACAACTTGTACTTGAGATCTATGTTTTAATGATTCATCTTCAGTTGATAAAGCATCTTTTTTTAATGACTTAATATGTTGATTAGGAGAATATTGATAATCGGATGCAATACTCCATTTTCTATGGTAATTATTTGTTGAATCTCTTGGTTGTATCTCAATATCCATATCATCTTGCCTAGTTAAATTATTTAAATCTACTAAAGTATCCGATAAATCATCCATACTTTTTTCAACTGATCGATGCTGTATTAAATGTTCTGATTGATGATGAATCTGTTCATCATTGCCAATTGTTGTTGGTGACAAATCAATATTTTGATCATCAAGTGAATCTTTATGATCCTGTGTATTGATATTATTTTCACTTATTTTTGTAGTTATTAAAGAGTCTGACATGTTTTTGTTGGACAAATAGCTTTGTTTTTTACCATCTAATAATTCTACTGATCCACAGACTTTGAATGAATCCGATTTTTGTGGTATATACGTATCAGAATCATCTAAATTTTGATTAATACCAATTAGAGTGTTTTTGTTCTGTCTTTCATCTATTGATGCAGTCATTGTGTATATCTTTTGGTTTCTATCTAATGAACCGAAGTCACTTAGTACATATTCAGATTCATCACCAAGTTGGGTATGAAGTCGACTTATGGGTTCATCTTTATGAAATGAGTGTCTGACAATAAATCGGAGTGAAGAAAAAATTAAATGAATTGCACAGACCAAAAATAAAATTACACGAAAATGTCAAAATCCAGTATTTTTCACAAATACCAATTACAAATGATTCTTACAGAATATGAACGATGATGTGTTACATGAATAATTATTTATATTATATATCGATTTATTCCTTATTATATAATATATTAAAATGACACTTGCTAATAAGTTTAGAATTTATTTTAATTTAGATACTATGGGATAACTAACATATAGACAGTGATCCACAATCCAGATTCATCAGAATTTATACCTTGTTTTACCGTTTTTTCGGATTTAAAAAAGCTAGAAAACTCCCACGAAAGACTGTGATGTTTTCTTGATACCGTAAGTAATGATTAATGTTATTTGAACTATATTTTATTGATAGGTTACTTTCTTTGAACAATTACTAGTATGTTCCATATACGTTATTTTCAACTTTACAAACAAAGTACACATAAAACGCTGTGGGGAATAATCCCCAAAATTTAGAAACCTTAACTGTTGATTACCAGAAAATTAGCTATGATCAATAACTTTTTCGAACTGTTTTGCATTTATGAAATTAATTCAGATGTTCCAATTTACACTGAGCTGAGAATTAGAAAAAGTGGCTTTGCTTACAATGTTATACAGGAATGTTTTATCATTTATACAAATTCGGTGTTTAAAAAAATTAGACAGATTAAGATTTAAATTGATTGAGTGATACCGTTAATGGTAGTTTGTAGCAGACTTAAAATTATAAAGTATCGGCTGACGTAAAAGCTCATATTATTTCTTAACCGCCTGTCAAACCATTTTACAACACGCCTACTTAACTTAGCAAGCCTTGCTCAAATTATCTGTATTTACATCTCAAAATTTGTTTGTATGTGAGGAATGAATATTTTAACACTTGATAACAAGTATCCACATCAGTCTGTGATGTTAACCAAAAAAAACCAACAATCTAATATTGAAAGTAGTAGTTACTGCACAGATATAAAGAGACTAATATAAACCAAAGTGAAATATATTGATTATTTCTGATATAAACAAACATACAAGAATTGATTTTATTATTATAATATTCATTTATTTATATCAATAAAATTAATTATTCTTACTTTTGCCGATATGTGTATTCTGCTCGATTTTTTAATTTATGCAAAGTTGATTCTAAATGTATAATTTTTCTAGAAAGTTCATTTTTTTCTAATAATAAATTTTGTAATTGACGATCTTTTTTGGCATGAGCTCGCTCTAAAATTCTTATATCTCTTGATAATGTATTATATTCATCTTCAACACGTTGAAGTAAATTTGATAAGTTTTGTTCTCTTGTTTCTGATTCTCGTAGCTAAATTTTATTAAAATAGTAAGAAAAAATTTCATTAGAATTTCTAGTTTTTAAACAGTTAACTAATTGATAAGTACAGATATTTACAATAACATGATTGTTATAATCAGGAGATCTTTTTTATTACAAATAGAAAGAAGAAAATTAATACGTTTCTTTAAGTATATAGCAATCATGTTAGTCAAGTGTTTATTTGGAATAGGGTATTTCGATCTTGAAACATTTGTAAATCTTTTGCATAAGGTAAATTATTGTTAAATCAATGGCAGACTCTATCAAGCTAATCTTATTCAAAATCTAATCACTAATCAGAAACCAGGAAACCTCTGAAAATGTATATCTTGAAATATATTATACTCTTTCATTTTATCGTGGAATAAACGTTTTTCAATCATCAATTTTTAATTCTGTTTCTATCCATTCGATTCAATAATTTCGTGGGTGGCTTGGCCAAACAGACGTTTAGAGGCTAGAAACAGCAGAAAGCTTCATTGTATTTAAATAGTAATGTGGTGTGGGTTACTTATATCCAAATAAGTAGTATATAACGGCGGTCAGGCATAGAATGTATTTCAGTAGAAGATCGATAAGAAAAAAACGGAAACGGGACGCAATTGGTATGAAAATGCATGAACAATAAAATCTGAGCCGACGGACTGATATTCGCAAAACGAAACAGTGAAGTCTGAGACGATGGATTGATATTTTGCAAACTAACTATTTACTATATGGTTCTCAGATTTTCGTGAGATGTTCTGTAATCTCATGACTAATACATTCTATTGTCTCCCCTCGTGTTCTTGTTTACTACAGTAATGTTAATTTAGTAAGACAGCATGTTGCCCTTATATTTGTAAATGAACAACACTCAAAATTATCCATATGCCATGACCATGATAGTTAGTTATCTAAGAGAGAAGAAAGCACTTGAGATAAATAGCTGAAGGTATCGAATTCACACTATTCCGAATGTTTGAATGTAGTTTTCCCTATTATAACGAGAAACCTGCTATCTTTAATTATCTGGTTCGAATCTTCTTCAAGGTATATTATTGTAGAAGTTTAGATATTGGATACATATTAAAAAATACAACGACTAAGTTTCTAACAACTAACGTCAACATATTACAACAGTACTTTTCGAGCAAAACAATAATCTGTTGAGGTATTTATATGAGATCAACTTAGACACATATAATTGAAATAATACATAAGGTTGGTTTAAAAATACCTTTTACTGTGTTGTGTAAAAGTGGTTTAGAAAAATTCATTAGAAACGTTAAATTCTCAGCCACATGAAAATGCATAATAACTAAAGTATTCAAATGCAGTATTTCAATAACGATTACTGTTTGAGTTATATGTTCCTCAATTTTATGTCCCATATTATCAAGTCTATAACCTCGTTTTTTTCTCATCTTCATATTTTAATGTTCTAAATGTATGATCAGTGTTTTCTTTGAAATGTAATAAATACGGTATAAGTTATATAATTCTCATAAATGTTGTTTTCTTGTTATATTACCATAAATGATTATCTTAATTCAGATTGAATGAGTTTTTTCTTATTCATTTCAATCCAAATATAAAATCATTTTTAAAAAAAGTACTCACAACCAAAAATTGTGATAAACAAAAAATAATGTCACACTCAATTTGTAATAATGTTCGTGAATTCAAATGTTTAACGTCAGATAAATCAAATTACATATATCTTTTGATGTCATAGAAATCTTAAATCTAGATTGTATATATTTGGTAAAGAATAATGTTCGAGAAAATGATAGTTTCATTAAACAATATTAAACATAATGTACTTTATTAAATGATTAATAGTACTTTAAGGTAAATCCTTAATACGTATTCAAAATAAGTGAATTTAACATTCGAACAAATGTAAATTAGATTTTAGAAAGAATATGTAAAAAAAGTTCTAAAATAATTTCATACTTGGGTGAATAGCATAAACTATCAGTGAAATTTCAATGTTTCTCATTAATTTAAACAATTTTATATATTTTTAATACAGTAATATAGTTAACTTTGTAATATTGGTTTATTTTATACTTTGATTCTTTGTCGAAGTTTTAGTGTCACTGAATGTAGAAAACGTTATCTTTTAGTGAGATATGATATTGACAACATAGTAATAACTAAAGTATACATCAAAAGTGATTGTTCTAAAACCACTTAAAAACATCCGAAATAAGAATATCATAAGTTCATTGATAAAATTGATTAGTAATATGCGCTGAAAAGAATAGATGTTAGTCAGATGTTTATTCCTGAACACCTAACTTCAGAGTGCCAAACACTAATTTATGTGGTGGACTATCTTTCATTCTTACAAAATATAAACGTTTATCGTAGTTGTGTTGTAATCACGAATAAAGGATCCTGACAGAATGGTTTACATGATAATGTTTAGAATCACTACAAAGCTTCAATGTCTCTCGTCAGGATTAACCACGCAAAAAGAAAATGTGCGTTTACGGTGTAGCTACATTTATGAATGTGAACTGATATTGATCTAATTTTATGTGACTCCAGACAGCACATCATGTGTTTTTGTTGGTGAATTCACTAAATTTGCTGTTACCGCCTTCAATGGTTCATTTTTAATTATTTGTGGTGATTTTAATTCATGTGATGCTAGCTTTTTTTCGTCACCAGGTCACCAAAATTTACTCAATGTTCCCTTTTGTTCGGATGCTCATTTGGAGCCAATTTTCATTACTGACTTGGGAATATATGTGACTCCATTGCCTAGTTCTGATCATCATATTATCCGTGTTCTATTTAAAATTTATGACAACCTTAGAAAGAGTACACTCTTACATCAGACAAAGAAACTTAAATACAGTAACCACTAAATAGAAAATACCATAAATCTGAACAACATATTTTGTATAACAAACTGATATTTATTTACAAATAACTTATTAGGAAACACTGCTGATGTTATCAAATATTATCCCAAATTCCGCTTTGATGCTTCTTCTCTCACTGAGACCACTTTTGTAAGTTTAGGTCGACTTGAATTTCAACAACTAAAGCGATTACGGAGAGGAAAAGGAAGAACGTACACAGAGAAAAACTTTAGAAGATCATATCAGTCTTACATGTTGGTGTTGATCTGCATTGTAACATAGTGTTCAAATCGGAAAAAGGCAAGAATTATGTTTGGTGCCCATTTTTACACTATACATCTCCCTTTGGCTCTCCCACGAAACCACTACTATTAAACACGTTTGCCAGCGTCATTGCCGAATACGAAGTAACTGTGTTCTGGCCTCTCTGAGGTAAAACGGTACACTGTATTTGAAGGAAAGTCCACAACGTCTTTACTAACTCAAAAAAGTGTGACACAAGGAACTGTTCTTACCTCATTTACTTTATCTTTGTTACTGAGTGATTTGCCGTCTTCTATGGAAAACATTTGCTAGATATGATGTCATTGTATGTGAGCCAATTTCCCCATTTTTTGTCTCATATTGTACTATGGTCTGCTTTTAGTGGTCTCACACTTAATCTTTATAAATTTCAGGATATTTGTTTAAGCTTGAGACATTAGCAGCACTTAAAAACCCCGTTAGACTCCCATCACATTTGTACTACTGGCGATTCTGTAATAAAAATAGTGTAAAACTCCTTTTTCTTCATGTATGTTTTCCTATGATCTCCCTTGTTCTTCTTCCTTTCGACTTATTATGTAAAGAAAGTATATGCTTTTGGCACTGCTCGACATTCACTTTACCGATTGATATATTCCCACATATTAAAGCTATTATTTATTGCACACTATTATGCGTTCTCGGACTTTTAAGAAAAGATTTCTCTATGTTCCTGATAGTGCTAAACGCGGCAAGAGGATGTATCTTGAACCTTTCAGAGTCATTATGAACAGATATTTTAAATCTTGCAAACTCCTGGAAATTATTATCTTATTAGATATTAACGATCTACTCCATCCACATCTTTCCGCCTGTATATCTTCTACCGGAACAAGACGCCGATATATTAGAATCTATTACCTTAATCAAATGTATAAAAGCTGTACGATACCGTTTCTAGCAAATATACTATGTGATGAATAAGTGGTAAGTGCTGATTAAGTCAACAAATTGTATTCTTAAAGATATTGCTAATTAAATGTCATAAAGATCCTTATATTCTTGAAGAAATTTCATTTAAATTCGTGCAGTTTAATTAGTTATTCTATGTGTATATGTATGAAGGTTTCGATTGTATTTTCTTTTTGCAAGAGAAACTTATTAAAATAGTTTTTGCTACACATTCTCTAGTGTTCTAAACACATAATTTTCAATAGAGCCATCAATAATAATAATGACCGAAACTTGATTATATCACAAATTTTCATGTTTTTCATGATATTCTTCCTTAAAAGTATTCCTCTTGTAAACCGTGAAATATAACTATCCTTCCATAATTGTGATTATTCTTGCTAATTGTAAACTTATACAGTCTTCAATCTATAATAGTAAACTTACACTTTGTAAAAAGTAATCACGTTCTTCCATAGCTTTCAAATATTCATTTTCACTTTGTTTTGCATTAAAACGATAATCTTTAACTTTTCCATGTAAATTATGATAAGATTTTTCTAAATTTGTTGTTTTCTTTGACCAATAATCAGCTGTTGCACGTACATCACGGACTTCTGCTACAAATAATTTTAATAAACTATTGAAGAAGAAAAAGAAAACGTTTTACCTGATTAGTGTGATTATGATAAGAATGATAAGTGCTTTATTCTACATTATAAAGTTGATTCTTAGCAAAACAATACTGTATTAATATAGAATACAATTTATTAAATTATCTCACTTGTAACTAGTCGAAAATATCCTAAAATCTTTCCTCGATCAAGTCTACGTCACTTAAAGTATGGATCTCGATTTATTCTCTTCTCATTTCAAAAATAGAAAAGATGAAAGTGTATTTAATCCTATACTACTTAATATTTACGATCAGTATGAAAGTATATTTTAGGATTCACAAATATAATCATTTTGTTGTTTAAATATATATAAAGCAGAAGACTTAATTACAGTTTCTGTAATTTTAAAATAGTTGAATTAAGTGTTTAAACAGCTTGGGAGACAATTTTCATTCATAGATTTCATGTAGGACTATATGTTAATAAAATAAATGAAACACATAGGTAGATACATTTTCTTTTCAATAAAAACCATTTAACTGTCAAGATCATTATCGCTATCAATTTAGACAAAAATGAATCGATAGCAATGATATTTAACTCCGCTTTAAAAGCTTTTTACTATTTACAACTCAGTCACCTGAAACAAATCCAGTTTTGCATTTGACTTACTATGAAATTATGAGTATGTGATATGTAAAACCTTATTTCGAGAACAAATCAGCTTCCAGCCGAATATGAAATTAGGAAAAGACGTTGGAAGTGGATAGGACATATATTGCGGAAATCAAACTGCATCACAATCTTGAAGGGAAACGGAAAAGAAGAAGGCCAAAGAATACACCGCGTCGAGAATCGGATGCAGATATGAAAATGATGAATAGTAACTGGGAAGAACAGAAAAGAATTGTCCAGGACAGCGTTGGATAGAGAATGCCGGTGGGCAGTCTATGCTCCTTCGTGAGAGTGACAGGCGTAATGAAATAAGTAAAGCCTTATTTGTTACATATTCACTTGTGGATTTATGGTGAACAGAATGCTAATGGCATTTTTAACTGGCACTCGAAAACTTGTAAGCATTTAATCTACTCTTGTATGGTTAGTGAATATTGTTTCATTGTAATGAAAGTTTCAAATGACATGATAATATATATTAATTTATTACCAAATAAAACCTTTTTAAGTTCCATCGATTTGATGATATACAACGAAAATCATGTTAATAACCCCCAAACTATACATTTGAAATAATCTCAGTGATTTCAACCATAACAATCACCAATAATGTTCTCTCTAAACTTATTCAATTTCTGTCAAACTATTCGTTCTAATACTAACAAATATTCATATAAATTATTTCGCAATCGAATTAAATTATAAAAGAAATTATGTAACTGGTACAATCACCGAGTTTTTATTCTACAATGTTTAAGACAAAATGTCAGTCCAAAATATCTGTTGATCAAATCTCTTGACAAATCTATTCGTTTTGTCAAAGCGGTGGTCACAGCTGCGAGAACATTTTAGAGACCGTATTCACGAAGCCAATATGAATCTACCATCCTTGAGTTTAAGGACTCGTCCGTTATCAAATCGAAGGAAATAGGATCCAATGTCAACGAATTTTTTAAACGCAGGGAATAATTTCATCATCAATTGTCAAAACAGCGGCAGATAAGGAAGTTTGAAAAAATGCTGAAACACTCATCAAATCACAAAGTTCAATAGACTGGAGATAAATCAAACACATCGGACATCAACAAACAGACCATTAATTTATCAGATAGAAATCTAAGTACCCATGAAATGTCTTTACTTAAAGAAGTCTTAATTTCATTACAAATAGACCACAATTATGACCTTTCAATATTATACCTGCAATTAAAATCTCTTTACTGACGAATGATCTGGGGAATCAAATAGCGCCCACTTTATTAAATTAAAAACTACACAATTCTAACCTAACTAAAATGATTTGTATCCAATAAAACAGCTGAGAAACGATAATACAATTAACATTACGAGAGCAGATAAAGGTAATGTGACTGTTATTATGAACAAATTGGACTACGAAAAAAAGCCAGGAAACATCTCAAACATGACCCATATAAATTAATTAGAGAAGCGAGACGTCTGACTAAACTTATTAAGCTTACGGCTGAAAATAGCGAAGTTCTACAGTCGGTTAAGGTAAAACTAAGACCGTTATTTTGGTTCATGTTATATCCAAAATGTTGTGGTCTTTGTTAGTTCTATAGACTACCAAAGATTCACAAGAATAAAACTCCACTAAGACCAGTGGTTGATTTTACAAATTCGCCGAAATATAATCTAGAGAAATACATAGCTGTGATATTCAAACCATATGACTAATTGGCTGATCATGGAATTAAAAACTCTACTGAATTCAAGGATAGTTTTCCAAAGGTAGTGTAGTGAACAAAACACAGATGGTGACAATCTAATGTATTTATTACAGAGTTACTTGATAAAATAGAAAAACCATATAATAAATTGTTAATTTGCAAAATATCAATCCATCATATCAAGCTGTACTGTTCCTGTTGCAAACATCAATCCACTGTCTCACATTTCATTGTTCTTGCGTTTTCTTACAAATTGCATTGTGTTTTCGCTCTTCTTTTATTGATTTTCCCCATCTTCTGCTGCCAGACATTACGTTTTTAACTCGCGTCATATACTACTTACATAAATATAAGTAGAACGCACCACAGAATGACAACAGAATGTTGTCTATGAAGTTAGAAGAATATAAACAATGTTTGAAAAATTATCCTATATCCTAAGTTGATCTGGAGAGACTTGAAAAGAGGTCGGTGATGGAGTTGCATGCGTTAAAAACAGTACATAAGATGAATTTCGAATTGACTAAAATACTTCAGTAAGGTTTTGGCACACATAAAGTAAGACTGACAGCAGAAGCGCAGTATTTAGGGCTAATAAGAACAGGCTGAAAAGAAAATATTGTATTCAACTAGCTACCATCTGGCAAATGTTCATTAACATGTAATTTGAACCTATCTCTATTCAACCTTTTTATTTCATATGATTCGTTATTCTGATATTTTAGCACTACAATTATTTATATGATGGTTCTCATTTTACATTCATGTAAAACTTCATGTAAAACAAATTCACACGTAATATAAACTATCAATAACTCAAACGTACACATACATTTGCAAACTCAATCACTTATCCATTTCTCTTCACACTGTGAACCTTTAACATGTTTATCATTTAACTGACTCGTGTTATCCTATCTACAAAAGCCAACATCTGAATATGATTAGATAAGCACGGTAAATATGTGATTTGATTGTTAAGCTTTACGTATTCTTTGATATTTTTGATTTTGATTATTATCCTGAAGAAGTCCAAGCAAGTTTGCTGGACAAAACTGTTGAATTATTTAAAGTCCAATGGATGAGATTACTTCAAATATAATTTCCATAAATAAAGAAAAAATTAAGGTTTTGAAATTTGCATGCAAACTATATTTATGATTAGCTTTAAAATCTAAAGTTTGAAGATCAGTTTTTGTGGTAAACTTAAGAAGATAGATTCGTTAAAAAAAATTCAGTTTTAAAAATACTTTTAACAGTGGGGTCAATCGAATATGTTTAACAAAAAATTACAAGACTTGTTAATAAGATCTAACAATCGTGAAGTAAATACGTAATTTGCAAAATGTCCATTGACTGTTTCATCATGACTCAGACTTCATTGTTCTTGCATTTTCATACAAACTGCATTTTGTTTCCATTCTTTACTGTTCGATCCTCTTGTCTCTCTGCTGCCAGACCTTCTGTTCACGACTAACATCATACATTATTTATGTCAATATAAGTAGCACACACCACACTCCGAAGTTTGCAATTTCAAATATTCAATGAGTTTAGTTTCTCTGCCCATCAGGTAAACTATTGATATAGTAAGCGATTAGGTCATGACAATGAGATATGTTTAACTTCTCTATGCAAATATTTGATTACTACCGTGTTACACAGACCTATCAATTCACATTAGTACAACTAACGTTTTTATTTTGTTCTCGTTTCCTTTCTCTATTATGACTAATATTTTTTTCAATTTAATATTCTGATAATCATTATTTTCTATTAAATGATTGACATTATGATAATTTTCATTGTTTATCTAATTACGTGTTTGCAACTAACTAATTTGATTTGTTGTATTCAAATAAATTAATAACGATTTTTCATTGAAAATCGAATCATTTTAAATTTTTTTCTTTCTCCTTATTTTTCTTCTTTTTTTTTCTTTGCTAAATAAACTTCACAATTTTAATTTATTAAACATTTTTTATTAATTACTCATTCTATTAAGAAAATATTTTTCAGTGCAAATTTATTAATGTAACTAGGTAGGTAAATATGTTGATAGGTTACATGAACAAATTAATGATTGGTAATATGAATTTTAAACAAATAACAATATAAATGAATAATTACTAATAATAATCATTTTCATTTTAATGTTACAAATACAAAATAGAATGTTTTATTTCTTATAATTTGTAAAATTATGAATTAGTAGTATAGAAGTATATGAAATTAAAAATAAACAATTCATAGGAATTTATACGAATATTCGTCAAGATTAGAACGAATAGTTTGACAAGAATTGGGCGCCGAGTATAAAAAAGTCATTCTATGTGAAAATTACATTTGAAATAATGTCACCGATTGAAATTTAAATAATTCCAACGTTTCGTCCAGACAAGTTAGCTGGATTTTAATTTCAATCGCTGAGATTACTTCAAATATAATTTCCAGATATAATGAATTCATGAGAATGTTTATACAATTTTTTTAAATAATTTTTATGTGAATAGATGATAAAGAAATTTAAAAAAAAGAAATTGATCATTCATATAGTTTATGAATGTGTTAAAATATTGACTTGATGTTAATCCTAATCCTAATTAAATGATTTCTAATTAAGAAATTTTAATGATTTCACCAACTATCCTCCCTTCTTCTCCACATTTACGTTACCAGCTGTCGGGCAGCAACAATAGACATTACTGTCTAGGTTTATTTGGAAGTTATTTTTTTCACATTATTATTAAAATTACTTAAATGTTTTTACATATTATTCATATAGTTTATGAATGATCTATTTCTTTTTTTATCTCTTTACCATATACGCATATAAAAATTCTTAAGAAATTATATATGCATTTCCATGAATTTGTAATATTTATTAACACCATTTTACAAGTCACAACGAATAAACATTCCTATTTGTATTTATAACGCCAGATGAGAAATAATCGGGAATACTTAATTCATTTATTTTTATAAAAATTCATTATGACTAAAATATTTAGTTGATAATATGACTAAACCACTAGAAAGCTGACTCAAAATAAGTCAATTTATTTATCCCTTTTAACAGATGTTTTGGCCTATTTTTCATGTGTTTACTTTTAAACGTTACTAAAGGCTAATAATTTGGCTTTGCTCGTGGTTGGATACAAGGAAGTTATATCTCTAGTAAGTTCTGATAATGGTTCTCATAGTAAACATAAATACATCATTATAGACATTATATTTATTATAACTACACGTTCAGTAAACAACTCCGTTCCTACATTCATAACCGTGCATTACGGCTGTGTAATCATTAATAAGTGCTTTATTAACTAACAACAATAAAGCAAATAAATATATGTTATGTGATTACTTTAAAAATAGAATTGGCTCTAATAATAATGGTGAAAATAATAATAATATGGAATTTAATCATTTGTTCACATCCAAACATTACTGTATTGAATTGTTTGTTTCGAACGTTATTTGAGGATGTAACAATGATTTTATCATTTTTCATTTAATATGAAACAGTGTAGGCAAATGTTTCAGTGTGAAAAAGCCAATTTGTAATTACTTATCGTTAAGCTATTCTATTATTCATAAGCTCATTATCAAGTGAAATAATCCTAACAGTATTACAAGGAAACATGGTAGAATTCACTTGATATTGTGGATTAATTTTCTCTTACATGATCAACTTATTCAACATAATATTTAGTATCATTTATGCTGTATCAAGGTTTACATTTTATCCAGTGAAAAATTTGCATGTAGAAGATTTCTTCTCAATATATTGATTTCAAAACACTTGTGAAAATTCGACGAAATCTGGTAATGCTTTAAGTTATTAGATTCATTATATGCACTAACTAGTTGGATATTCTGTTGTGTCATTCAGAAATGTTTTTTTCGCAAGAAAAGCTGAATATCCACAATCGCTTGTTTGTCTTAAAGGTTATAAAATCAGTTCACTGATGAAAGTTTTACCAAGAAGAAAGGATGTGGAATATATTAGAACATCTAATACTGTATTTAAGTTAGTGTCTTTATTTAAGAATGATATTTGTTTTACCTAATGTCAATTGCCCACACAAGATTTATTTCGAATACTGGGAACAAAAAAGAATATAATTACTGGTTTTCCTATATCTTATAATCCATCTTTTATATATAGTTACTGTTTCCTGCATATTGTTGAATAAATTTATAAAAATGGGTTTAGAAGACTCGTTATTACAGAAACAAGCGTTTTTCATCAATGTGTAATTTGTATTCACAGAGTTTTGTTTCATTCCGTGCATATCTATTTCACAAGTGACATCAAAAAATGCTTAAAAAAGCTATATTGAAAAAAGGTGCCTGTGTGATGTCATAAGTGATCCCAAATGAAAAGATTAACACTTTTGGAAGAGTACTATGAAAATCAATTATATGTATAAGTCCTTAAATGACAACAGCAAAGGATAAATACATAACAATTTGCAATGAAGCTGTTAATTTTATAAGAATATTCCTCAGTAAAACCTTATAAACCTTACAATACAATTGAGTAATATGTTGTTGGGCATCTTAATCTAATCTGTTCCCAAGATCATGCCATTTAATTACGTTATATTAATAGTCGTTAAATAGTTAACGTTTATAGATACCGAGTTTTCTGATATACATACTCAGTATGCAGTATATCTAGATATCAGTGGTAAATACTTACATAAGAATTTAATGAAAGTCACGAAAAGGATATAAACGTTAATTCAAATATTGAATTCGGTATGTGCTTATGGATATACTTGTCCAATAACTTATGTGCTTTGAGAATTAACGTAACTTACGTGAACGCTTTGAAAGGTTTGACCATGATAACCAATAACATTACTTTCTTCTGTTCCAAGCAAGTTTATTATGTAATAAATGAACTTTAAATTTATCAGCTTAAAATTAAAAACCATTGCATTATTGGTATAGATTTTCGGCTCACATTCATAACGTTGCGGATTGAAATCCCATTCCATCTACCTACGTTTAAGACGTCATTTGCTATCGCCATTGCCCATCTAAACTGAGGCTCAAAAAGTGCAAATTTTCGTATCTTAAAATTGCCATTACGATTGAACTTAATTAAAAACAAAACAAATTTACACCGCTTTAACCAGGCAACTGTGTAACATGCAGTCTGACGTTTGATTTCAGTCATATTATATTCCTTGATCAGTAAAGTAATCAGATTCATGTTTTCATATTGAAATTAAGTATTTAGACTAAGACGTTTTGAAAATATTGTATGTGTATAAACTCACTTACTTTTCAGCCTCTTTTACACAGGATTCCAATTCAGCTATTCTGCGAACCATTATTTCTTCTGTCAATTTATTACCATTTTTATTATTGATCACTTGTTCCCATTGTCTTGTTGCTCGTTCACAGCTCCGTTTAAATTCGTCTAATCTATTTAAGGTAGGTGTATTTGATGTGTGAATTACCCTAACATCTTGTGGCATACGTCGTATTTTAATAGGAACACTGATTTGTGGTCTTGATATACTTTCATAATTATTTGTTTGAGGCACATTACTCTCTGGTGCTAATTTAGTAACCGTAGATAAAACTTTATGTGATGTCAAATTACTATGACCATTGATATTTTCATCCGATTTTTTAGGTAAATTTTCTACATGATGATGATATTGATATGAACTGCAAGAAGATGAATAACTTGGGTATTTATTTGTTACACGTGTCTTAACATAATCAGAAAAGTCCGGTGGTGATGTAGGATAACCAGCTGATGAAACAGTATCAAAGTAAGATTTGACAGACTTCTCTTTAACTTCTTCAGTTTCTGTAATGGATGATCGTATGATCTTTTTTAGTGGAGGAACATTTGTTTTGGATTTTGTATCACTTGTTGGTGTGTGGTCTGACATTGAAACAAGGAAGAATAGAATACATAGAAAATAAGTAAAAACTATTATCAAGTTATATTACCTTATCTAAAAGTTTTAAATATAAGGAAAGGATCAGCGATATTCTTGCATACGTTTCACATATCTCATTTTAAAATTATTGTTCGATTTTTATCAGTTATTTATCATTTAAATATATATAATACCCATAAATATTACTTAAAGTTTTTCAAGAATTGTCATCCGACTATAAAAAACCAATAACAGTGGATTTTTAATTGTAAATTTTGATTTTAGCCTATAAATTCATTTACAATATTAACTGCAGACCGTCATAATGAATTCAAATCGGGTCTTTTTTGTCATCAATTTATGTCAACGCTAATACACTAACCTTAAAGTATTTAAATTTATGATGTGTGTAAAATGAACCCCGTCAATAGTTATGATGAAATTAATGAAGTTAAGACGCTTGTTTTTCTCTACTATTTATATGTATTTATCGTAGATTCATGCATTTTTGAAATATGCAAATTGATATAATCAGTTATTTGTAGATATTCTTAAGGAAATGAAAGCCGTTTGTAAGTTTTAATTAACACCATTTGATAAATTACAACCATTTACATTGTTATTATCGTATAGAAGCGCAGTTGAGTAATATGTCCTTGTCTCATTTATATATTTAATAGTAATTTCGTCTGTCAATGTTATGTATCAAGATTCAATTTTTTTCTGTGGTTTAATTATTACAGTTTTCACATGAAAGGATCTAAGACAATCAACTACATAAGTGTAGTATGATAGAACTACCAACTCTATAAATCAAGTCCATATTTACATATGTATATCAATGTTTCACATAATTTACGAGTCTGATTTTTTTAAAAATTTAAGCATGATTTTCGACAAGTTTACTAAACTACATTAAGAAATCTAGTTTCATTATTAAATGATATATAATATAAATACTAACATGCACAATATCTGTCATATTATAAATACGCATAAAACTCTCTACACCACTTTTTCTAGTCTCCATAATAATATTGTCAAAATGTATATGTAACATTTAATTTGTTATTCTAAAAATCAAAGAATCATTCCATTAGTAAAAGATTTTATATTTAACAATATTGCTGAATTATATAAATATAGAGCATAAAACGTTACATAGAGTTCCTTTTCTTATAAGGTTTATTATTGCCAGAAAATGACTATTGTGAAATTCTATTGAATATATTGTGATTAAAGAACAAAAACCGATAAATTAGTACTTTTCATCAAAATATATGTTTACTACAAGAAACGAAATAATAATTTTGAATAGGGTAATTTATAAGTAAATTTAACGCTCATCTACTTATGAATTCCATATCTATGAAACTCAATATGTTTATATTAGTCTATTTTTATTTTTATTTATACAAAAATGAAGGTTTATTTGGAAACAATCATGATGGTAGCGATTCAGTAACTCATGTTATATATATTTATGATGACAAATGAAGGATGTTACCAATTATTTAATTAATCAACATACTACGATACTGAGAAGTACAAAATTTGGTAAAGTATCGAAACTTCCAAATATATAGTCTTTAACTTGATATAATTTTAAATCATGGATAGTTATAAAAAGAGTTAGTAATCTTGTCAGTAAAAAACCAAAAACAGAAACCATTTGAGTGAAATAAAAACCAAGAACTAAGTTTCTCCATTAGTATTCTAAGTTATTTAAAACATAAACAGAATTGTAGTTCATAGTTACGTTATAAATTGACATTCAGAATGATAATACGAAACAGTACGTAGCATTATAGAATTTCATTTTCCTAGCACAGAACTCATTACTAGATTATTCTACCCGACCCAGAATCTGCGAGTCGCTCTAATACTGATTAATCCTTGAACTACCGAGTTGAAATTTCTAGGTTTACATCTACAAACTCAACTACTTGACTCAAACCTGTAAACTGTACAATGGTTCACATCATTAATTATATAGTTTTATACGTTCATAAGTGTTGTTATAAATTAAACCGTTATTCAACTGTTTTGTGTGATACATCATACTCTTTATCGAATATATATGGCAATATACCTATTTACAGAAAAAAAATAACTATCGGATAATTTTTTATCTATCTGAAGATCTCTTCTATTGATTTTTAGGATAATTAAAATCTGATGCATAAACATTTTCTTAAAATTAGAACGACCTTTAGTTCAACCGATTCAACATGGAATTTTACTTCACAGATAAAATCATCAAAAATATTTGATTTTAGAAATGTTTTATTTTTTGGACATCGATTCAACTAGAAAGATCATGGATCTGACATATAAGATATTATACTATAAGCTATATCCATTAACAATCCGTTTTTGTCAATATTTATATTGTTAAGTAACTCTTTAAATGAATTCATTTAGAAGTTATACCATAATATCGACATTTCATCATATTTGTGTAATGTAAAGTTATACCGTTCACTTGATATTGTTTTACTTGAATTTTCCCATTGAACAAGCAAGTGGCTATCAGGACTCAGTAGCTAAGTGGATAACGCGATGGCGTTTGAAGCGAACGGTACTGAGTTCGAGTCCCAGAGTGAACATCAACTCTGAGATGCAGGTACATCCAGCTGACGAGTCCCAAACAGGACGAAACGCGCGTCCTGGATTCCACTGCTAGCCACTATCCATCTTTGCTTGTTATACCGTTTACGTTTATTTGTTTTCTGTCAATATTATTTAAATAAACCTGTCAGTATTATCTGATTATGAACTTATTAGATGTGGATAAGAGCTTTCTTTGTATTAAACCGAAATGCTCTCTGTAATCTCCCTATAAAAGCTACTGGGAATTTCTGTCGTTATCCATTTCGGCAACTCATTAAATTTCCAATTGATTTGCTACTGAGTAGTGATTGATATAATGTTAGTCAAGTCATGATTAGTAGTGGCTAAGTTCTGTCGATCAGTTATAAATGTGACTAACACACTAAGTAACTCGAAATTGCGTGCACCATGTTGTGATGGTCGTTAGGAAACACAGAATATCCTATTTCGAGTCAATTAAACTAAACTCTATGTTGTAAGTTGATCGATTGTATCTGATCAGCATTTAGAAGTAATTGGTGAGTATGTCATTTGTTATTGGTTGATATTCAATCATTTTTAAATGCATTTCATTGCTACAGGGGGTCAGTAGAGTCCCAAATAACTCAGTAGTAACGTCTCTGAATGTAAAACTGAATAGCTCAGATTCAAACCCATGGAAGAACACTTTACCTCTAATTTTGCAGATGCACTCTGCTCAAGAATGTCAAAAAGCATAAAACCTACGGCAAGAAGTTCCTGTTGACTACGTCAAACTATGTAATATCACCCGAGTTCTTACTATCACTTAATTATGAACGATTGGTAGTCAACTTTACCTCGTGACGGTGAACATACAGTTATGTTTGCTTCGAAAAACAATTGAAGATTAATAGGAACAGTACTTATGAACTAATCTTAAGAAGAAATTTATGAACGTATTTATAAAATGTCTTTCTAATTGATATTATTTACCATAATAGTTTATCTCTAAGGAAACTTATAAATTGTGAGATTAATACAACCTCTGTCATTTGTATATTATTATTCACTACAGTTTATATCCCCTGATACTACATGAATTCATCTACTAAAAAGTTATTGCTGTTATGAAAGAAATCTTAATTCACCTATGAAGTAAGTATATTGCAACTACGATTGTTTCATTCGGTAGCATATACTTCATCATAGTAAAAAAATTTAAACACATTAAACGTAATATCTCTACGAATTCCATCTTAAATTTAGTTTTGAACACTTGAATAAATGTTTCTTTCATTAAATCTTTTGTACCATTCATCCTTAATCCTAAAAGTATTCAAAAAGCTATGCATCGAACTAGTACTACTCAATTCACGATTTTATATATATGTATCAAAATACAGAAAAGAATGAAAATTTAATAGTCACCATAGTATCCTAATGTAAATTTTAGGTTGACATATGTAACTACTTCATTAAAATAAATCTCAAGTAAACAAACATATCACAATCTTTTTATAGCTGAAAAACATAGATGACTCAGATTTTTGAGTTGTCAATAGTATAAAAGTCGAGCAACAATAATATAGTGTTTCACCCAATATATATTTATATAAACGTTGTTAATAATAATAAGGTAACAAGATATGACTGACACGTTTAATGATAAGTCGAAAAAATGTATGAAATTCTTTGGAAACCAAAGGCAAATTACTGAAATCATAAATTTTCTAAACCAAGATGAATTATTATTAATTGTAATCATTTAATTTGATATAAAATGCTTAATTTTGATAAAAATAATCTACCAACAGACGATATGTTATCTTTGAAACTGTTATTCGTGTGATAGATGTTTAAATGTTAACCATTCAACAAATATGTATTAAACAGTTTAGTTACCGTGATTCAGTTACTTTAGATTAGTTTTGTCCCTAAAACTCTTTTCCCTCAGAATTCACTAAATAAAAATAATACTATTTGCAGCATTGGTGATAAAATTAATAACCAGTATGAAATATATTTTACAACTTTTCAGTTCTTAACAGTCTGTAAAACGTTTTTTGAATGCATATGAATGCAACCGGGCAACATAGCTAAATGTGCGATTTCATTGTAATCTTTGTACAGTTGAAAAATAGACTATATACAAAATTTAAAGACTGTGATAAAAAGAATGACAATGGAAAAGTTTATCTACCGAGTAAAAATTAATGTGTAGAGTCAAAGGTTTTCATATTGCATACATCACCTTCGATATAGAACTGCCAATACGCCATACAAAAAATACTTAAGCATAAACCGTTATTTACAAAAACTATTTGTGGTTAAGTAAGTGGATTTGCATATTTTTTCATCTTGAATGACTTATGCTATTCTAAAAACGTCATCAATATGGTTTTTTAACTTCATGTAGACCAAGTAGTCA